CCCGCCAGGGTGCTTATCCTGGCGAGCCGCGTGCTGAACGTTGCCGACCCCTGATCTACAGTCTTCAATAATTCCAGCTCACCTAGTAGTTCATTAGTAGATGAAAAAAATTAAATGTTGCTATGCTGTTTGGAAGCAGGGTGAAAGACTTCCCGGAAGACCTAAAACACGATGGCTGGACAGCCTGACACCTGTCCCTCACACGCATCCTACCCCATAATGAACCAGAGTTAGATCAGGACAGAGCATCCTGAAGGCACATAATGCATTTGTTGGCCTCTATGCTGCCCAAGCAATAGCATGAGAGCTACCCAACCAATGCTGTTTGCATTTCATGCTACAGGAGTAAATTTACACCAACTTAAAATGCAGGGTATGCCATCTACTGTCTTTTGACCAATTTACTCGCACATTCTTTTAAAATTAATCTACTCAGCCAAAAAGTCATGTACTTGAAATGACAACACAATCCTATTGCTCAACAGCAAACAACTGTTTCCATACACTATCACCACATTTAAATTACATTTTACAAAAACAAATGTGGGATAGTTATGTACATCTTGCTATAAAATGTAAAACCATCCCAAACATGATTAAGATTCATCTTGATTGTAAAAATATGTGCATTTCTCATGAGCAAGACACCATAGGCCTGATTTTTTTCCCCCAAGAGTCTCAAAGATCTTCCTAGGCAAGAAAGAAATTTAATCTTTGTTACAAGTAGTTTAAAGAGCAATTTTCATTAAAGATCAGTGTGCAGAAAATGGATTATGCTGTCAAATACTGGTCTTGGCAAGGAAGATTAGCCATATGACAATCCTGAGTCCTTTTAAAATACACAAGAGGAAAAAAAACTAACATCCAAGCAATTGCTCGCTTGCAGTAAGACATTTAGCAAGTCACAGCAACTGAAAGAGCATCCCACTAACATTCAGCTAAAACATTCACAATAAGCAGCTTACCCCAATGATCTAGCTAGTGTTAAAGGTATTTTAAGATGATTAGGAAGCTTAGCTCAGCAGCCCAGAAACAAATCAAAGCTGTAAATCTGGAAGGCAATCACCCCAAAAAGTCAGTTTGAGGTTATAGCTTGTACAATTTAGGTGAAAGAGGCTGGGTCTTCCTTTTAAAATGATGGCTCAAAGTGATGGAGACCACCATCCTTAAGATTAGCGGATTGTTGCATTATTGCCTGTGTTAAAGACCTCCCAAACAAAAGACAATACCCACAGTCCATGTATGTGCATGATATTACAGAAGCCATGGAAGAGGTCTTACCTTGGGGTTTGAATCACAACTTTGTACACATTAAAAATTATTCATTCAGCACTCGTATATCTGCATCAATCTGGTGAGCTCACCTCAAGGCACAGACTAGCAATTGAGCAGCATTTATATATATAAAAATACAGAGTGAGTCATACAGGAGGAATAAAACTGAGTTTAAGAAGCTGCTTATCCCTGTAATAGGTAAATTGCAATAATGCAGTAACATCTGCAGCAAACATTGCATTATACAAACCATCCCTGCAATTCAATCTTAGGTATTTCTGTAGTGTCTATCATACTCAATGCTCATCAACTGTGACTAAAGTTGAACTGATTAGAACTACAACACTCCTTGATTTCAGTACTACCCATTACTGGGTATTTAATCAGTTACAAGGACACTGATATTTGCATCAGAAAAATACTTAGAATTCATACCAGTCAGCAGCACATTTGATTTTTCAAGTAAGCATCCTTGTCTTGTTTTACTCCACTAAACACTGTACATTAAGTGTAAATTTATTAATTCACAAGTTTCCCCTCATATTTCCAATTAATAAAAAGGAGACTTCCTTTTTCTTGCTCTATGTCCTAGTCAGACTAACCAACAGCTTCAAATGTGGAAATCAAAGATACATTTGTGGGATCTTTACTGTTCAGTCTCTGAATTCAAACAGAATGAGAGACTACAGTAATTTTGCACTGATAATTGTAGTAAATTTTAGTGGAAGCACTGCATCTACAGTACAGGTGTTGTAGGATTGTCTCAGGAATTTAACATTCACTTTGAGTTCAAAATGTAAATTAATAAAATGCCAGTACAGATATGGTCTATGGGTGTTTCTGGAAAGCGGTGTGTCTGTGTCTACACATACAAGACATTGATAAGAGATCATGCTCATGTCAGAATCAACATGTCAGCTAAGAAAATGTGACCTTGCATAGCACATCCAGTAGTCCTCGTTTCCACTGCAGATACATTTGCCAGGAAGAGCTCCTCTCCCCTCTTCTCCCAGTTTAGTTAAACATAGTAACTACTTCCAACCTCTTTAATAGTCTATTAAAACCTGGTAGACTAATTTTCACAGCAAAGCTTCGACAGAAAAAAGATAAAAGCAAAAGAGCTCTTCCATTACTATCATTATGCTGCAACTGCCTTTCTCTTTTGCATGGTGACTTTATGAACATGGTTATTGCAATACAATTTCCAATTCCTATAACAGTATTGAGAAACTTTCATTCATAGACTTAGACCCAGGGCTGAATGTTTAATTCGGTTAAAACAACTCTTAGGACAATATATATAGCAAATAGACAGATGTTTTGAAAGCAAGTTTCCCCACAATAGCTTTAACTTGTAATGTAAATTAAACAAATTTAACTCCAGTTCATTTGATAAGATGCAACAGTAAAAGGGAGTCTAAAATCTACAATTATGCAAGTACACAGTCACATACATCACTAGCAAGAATAAGATTGTGAACAAGCTGTAGCCATAAAAGTAATAAAAACCCTTCATGTTCCATGTTGATGCTGGCAAATACTTTTTCTGATATAAAGGCACTTTGAAAACCCAATATGGTTTGGTTCATTAAGTTTGCAAAGTACAAACAATTTTACAAACATACGATTATAATGAAGAATGCCACCCACTGTGACATTATGTACAAGACCGCTCTCCAATTTTTGATAACACTGGTTTTGTGGGAATGAGCAGCTTTCAGGCTTGTTTATGTGAACATTTAGTTTGCGGCAAGCTGGGGTGTGAATCTACTCAGTGCTAGCCTGCTAAAAGCCTAACTGTCGATGTGGACCCTGCTGATATAGGCTTAGATCTAGTCCTCTTTAGAACAGGACTAGATCAAAGTGCACTAACAAACCGCTAATAAAGACAGGGGCCACATGAGCACAGGGCCGGCTCCAGGCACCAGCTTAACAAGCAGGTCCTTGGGGCGGCCAAGGGAGAGGGGCGGTACCTGCGGCAATTCGGGGGCGGCAGGTCCCTCACTCCCTCTAGGAGCAAAGGACCTGCCGCTGAACTGCCGCCGCCAATCGCGTTTTTTTTTTTTTTTTGCTTGGGGCGGCAGAAATGCTGGAGCCGGCCCTGCATGGGCAGTTAGTCTGCAGCAGGCTAGCGCAGAGTAGATTCACTCCCCAGCTTGCTATGAACTAATTTTTGTTTTGACAAGCCCTTCATTAAAGACATGACAGGAATTGCAGTCCCACAATCTTAGTTTCCTGTTGGAACAATTGTAGTAAGTAAAAAAAAAAATATATGAAAAAAAAATGAAAAAAGTTTGGGGGCCACAAAAGACAAGACCAGAAGTCCAGGACATATCCTTTCAGTTTTTACTCCTTAAACATGAACTCTAGAAGTAGCCAAAAGGCAGCAGTCTATTTGGCCTTGGTTAACTGAAGTGGCGGTGGCTCTGTCTTGAAGAGTACAATGTTTTATACCATTACAGTACCAGAAAACTTTGGTCCAAAGAACTCAATTTATGATGTTCACTACATGGCTGCAAAGTCAATCTGTACATAAAGCTGTCTGACTCCTGCCTGTAACAAAAAAGAGGGAGAATTAGAAAACTGAACAATCATGACCTACGCAACTGTACCCCAGTTCCAAATGCTATTATACTTACACATTTTTATTGTGTAAGTATAATCTACTTGATAGCTTGTTCTGTAGTAATGATTCTACTAAACTTAGTGCATGAGTTAAAGCTGTGTAGGGCTTCTACAGTGTTTTAAAAAAGCTTATCTTAAAGCACAAGTTCTTCAACCACAATCTAAAGATCACGTGACAAATTTTAAAAAAGTTTAAAGTGTGTTTTTAACCCTTAGAACAGATGCCAGTTCAAGTGAAGCAAAGCATAAGGATGTGACAGTTTGAGCAATGAAACTGTCCTACAGCATAATGGGGATTTGTAGAGAAGACAGGCAATGGTGTATTTATGTGAAACACCAAAATAACGTTTGGTAATACTCTATGGGCACATAAATTGCAAATCACCCCTCTGCTCAAAAACCTCAAGAGATTCAATTTAGGGAATGCCCTTAGCTCTGCCATCATTGTATATAAAATTATGAGTAAATTATTTAAGAGACTATTAACCCTTAAAGTCAGGCTGCTAGCTGCAAAAGTGGTGCACGTAGTTCATTATGCAGAATCATCTTCAGGAGAAAAATAATAAAAATAATCTGACTGAGAACACATTGCTGAGAATCAGATTAATGTCAACTAGGCGCTTAGATGACTACGGTAGTGAAAGACAACTTTTAGTGAGCTCAGGATCTACACAAAAAATTCTAAGCTTCCATGCAAATAATCAAAACATCCACATCTGCCTCTCAGGACTTGTCTACATAGGAAGTTATACCAGTATAGTTAAACTGCTAGAGTCACCGTGTGGACAAGAGTAGCTTTTTGCTGTTTAGCTTCAACTACTTCCAAAGTGGCATAAACTAAACCAGAAAAAGCCATATTTACTCTGGAATAAGAATGTCCACACAGAGTGTTATAGCAGTTTAAATGGATACCTTAGCTTATACTGGTATGATTCATAGACAAGCCCTCAGTCACAGATGTGCCATACTCTGGAATCACTTGACTTGAGTCTTTAGGAACAGAACCACACTCAAGAAAACAACTTGTCTGGGTCCCTGAAGTGCAGTGGACTTTGTTTCAGCAATAATGAATACTGAGCGTCCGAGGTCACTTTGCCTAACCTGCCAAATTACAACTTTAAGAACTATGATCTCCACTACTGCTCAAAATATGCTTGCTCCAACTGTACCTTCACCTACTCCCACATATCAAAAGGGAAGGAAGATGTATCCTTTCTCCTAAGTCCATTTGATACCAACCCCTAGAATGAACATACAGAATAGTTGACGTCTTGCTAGCAAAATAATCTTTTTCACTGGAGATTCAAGAGATTTGAGATGACAAAATAATTACAAGTCTGTCCATTCAAACAGACTTCCCCCAAAGCCAAGCTAGCCTTCCCAAGGATCGGCCCTCCCACATATGTAAGCCACCTTCACACTGAACTGTTCAACCCATTAGCTGTTTTGTTGTAAAAAACGCGCCTGCGGCCTCCTAGTTATTTACGGAACTAGATTCATATATGCCGGAACTTCTCAGACAGGACAGATTTATTTATAAGCGTGATTCTAGGAGGTCGTCTTGAAATCAGTGCACAACCTCTTTATGTTCCAACATACAAGCTAGAAAGCAAGGAACTAATATCAATAAGCATTCATTTTTACTGGCTCCTCAAGTTCACCTGGTTCAGGATTCTTTAAGTTGGTTCAGTGCAGCAAAGACTTCAAAAGCATCTTTTCACTAAAAATGGAGGCAGTGCCGATAGAGATACCAATGTGTTGCCTAAATACATGCACTACAGAAAGTGTCTGCAGCACCAAGTAATAGAAGGTAAAAACCTGAACATAACCAGATAGTAAAATTAAATATTATTGAGCAGATTCAAACAACATGGGCCCCATAAGAAAAAGACAAATTAAGTGACCTGGAAAGTAGAGTGAGTAATGAGGTAGCAAAATTTACAGATGACAAAGTTATTCAGGCAGTGCATCTGCTTCATGTGTAGTCGGGCCCAAGGGACTAGATATGCTGTATGCATTAGAAACAGAATTCAAAGGAAGAGGTCCTAGTTGGGATTTATTGTAGCTCATAGAAAGAATTCCCAAGGACCCAGGAGCTTTGTCTAGTCTGGTAATCGGAAACATCACCAGATGTACAAACAATTTGTTGCATCATAAATGAGGCTGCTGCCAATGTGGTAGCCAGGACCAGATATAAGACAGAGTTAACACTTTCCCACCGGAGCACATTCTGAAAAGAACATTTCTACAAACACCTTTTTAACTGACCCAGGCAATTCCTGTTTTCCTCGCTGACAAATATTTGGGCTCGAATAAAACTCCCTTCATCATCTTGTCTCTCTCTGTTGCTGATCTCATTGAAGTTAATCCTAGGTTTATGGGATCATCAGTTCATTATCATGTAATGTTGTGTCACATATTGAATATCACCACTTTTGTAATAATCTGACAATATTTTATTAAACCTCCAATAGTTAGAAAACAGGGCAAGAAAAAGTATGCAACAACTGAAAGGTAAATTAAGTTTGAAGCCCATGTATAAAAGGTTTCATCCCTTACTATTTACCTAGGTATTTATATGCTGCTCTCTCCCTCTCCCCACTATCATGGTGCTTCTGAGTGTATTGCAAGGATTTAAGACTAGACATTACAACAATCCCTTACTTTCTTCACGCCCTGTAACAGAAGTAACTTGGATAGTTTACAGCTTTGTTTTCAAAGGTGCACGTGTGTTCCCTGCACAGAACTTTTTTTGCAGAAAAGCTTAAGCCAAATAAGTGAGTTTTGCACTGAGCTTCACATCAGGATTGCA